TGAAGGCTGAGCATTCCTTGGACCCTTTCACTTTTGCTGCTGGTACTGACTTTGAGATGGCTTCGGCTTTCTTTTTGCAGAAAATCCGGCAGTTGGCTGCCAAAATCAGATGCGTCGCCACCAACATGGACTGTTGGATGCAACTGAAGAAGAAGCTCAATGTGAACCAGTACAATGTATTTGTGAAGCTATGCCGCTGCATTGTCCCTACCTTTGAAGCAGCTGAACCAGCTGAACCTCATAAGTCTGCGCCTGTGCCTGAGCCACAGAAGTCTGCGCGTGCGCCGCCGCCTCCACACACAGTACCTTCGCACAGTGCAGAAGTGACAAAAACCTCTTCTGCGACCGAACCGGCAGACCAAGATTCAGGTAGCTGGGATGACGTGTTTCCATGTTTCTTCCCCATGGATGGTGTTGACTTTGTGGAGTACTTCCTCACTAAAGATAGCTTCTTGGACCGAGCTGAGTCCATGGCTTTGCAGGCGATGGTGCAGGTCACCGAAGTGGACACTCCTTTACCCTACAAAGACGACAGGAGCCCGACAGAAATGAGCAAGGGTCCAAAAATGAACCCACAAGCGAAAAGACTCAAAGGTTCTTCTCGAGTGGGATCTGAATGCGGACCTTGGTGGAAGAAGCTTTCCACAAATGGGAAATGCCCATTGAAAGCTTGGTATGACCAAGACGTGGCCAACGGGTTGACTATCTCACCCAAAAACTTCGCATCTCGAGTATATCACAAGGTCGACAAAAGAGTCGGCCGTGCGGCCGCGAAGCGTGCGCACGCGGAGGCTGTTGGGTTTGCCAACAGTCTCCTTTATTGAAGAGTTGAAGATTTCGGACCACGGCGATTTTCAGGTGACGAAACAGCTCTTGGCGAGCACGGCAAAGGCCTTATCATGTGTACAGCTGTTGTATGAGCAGCAGCTCAACCTTTTCACTTGCATGTGCGCGGTCAAACGTGCGAGCGCGAGGAGCTGTGTGACGGTTGTGCGCGATTTCCTTTCTGAAAGTTTTCAGGTGTTTTAGATTTCCTTTCTGAGAGTTGTGAGGGTTTCCATTTCCTTTCGGAGAGTTTTCAGGTCTTTTTTCGATGTTCTCCCGTCCCTTTTCCTTTCCCTCTCCCTTTCTTTGAATATATAATTCTTCAAGTTCGTTCCTCATGACACGCTTTTCTGAGATTTCCTTGGTGCCTTTCTTTTCCCTTTGCGGTGACTTTCATTGTTTTATAGCTCTTGGCCCAGAGTTTGTAGCAGTTTTCTTGAAACTCATGGTTTCAGCCGCCTTTGCCCTTTGCAAGCAACAGCAGATGCTCAAAACGATGTCCTCGCCTTCCTTGCTCGACAAGTACCGGTTCATGAGCCACGCCCCGCCGCACAAACGCAAGGCGCATGTGCTGGCAAGGAAGATCCGCCAAGAGCTGCTTCAAAGAGGTGTTCATTTGGCCGATGAAGACGACGAGTCGACTGTCCATGAATGAGGCAGAGGTATACCTAGGGGCTTTGAAACGCCATGTTTGAGGATGCCTTGCAACGTCAGCCAGGTGAGAGCCCTTTCTGAGAAAGTTTCCTTTCTTTTCTGGGAGATAATTCGGTGCACGAGCAGTATAGACAAATTCGACGCGAAAAAAGAAGCGCGATTTCGCTGAACCTTGATCGCAAACCATGAGAGTTTGTGAAGGTTTCCATTTCCTTTCTGAGAGTTTTCATTTTTTGATTTCCTTTCTGAGGTTTTTCCTTTCTGAGTTTGATTTCTGTTTCACTTCTTTACCTTCCATCGTCTATCGGTCCTTTCTGAAGGATTTTTTGGCCCGAGGTGCAGTTGCCTAGAACCTTTTACATGATGATGCCGCAACCTTTCCCATGCATGAAGGCAAAGCAGAAGAAAATCTCTCCAATGCGGCTGCAAAGAATGTTGGCCATGAGGCTGCCACTCCACAAGCTCGAGAAACACGTTCGATATTTGCGGCAGTCCAAGTGGCGGCAAGCAAACTTTCTTGCAAAACGCCTAGTCCGCTGCTTAAGGAAGCGAGTTGGTTGCCCAAGCACTTCTGGCTCTGACTGAATGTTAGCAAATTTGCCTGCAAATTCGTGTGCGATAATTGAACTGTTGCACGCTTCCGCTGCGCACCGCGCTCCAGGAAAAGATGTGTTTCTGCTTTCTGAGCGCATAGATTTTTGTTTTTCATCAAAATTTAATAGTTCAAAATAGACCATAAAAAGACTATTTTGGGATAGTCTATTTTGATGATAGCCTCGAGACTATCTTGATGATAGGATAAGACATATCCTATTCTCAGATAGACTAAGCGGAGCCTTGGGGTGTGTACAAGGCGGACAAGAAGATTGACACCTACCATGCGACAATTCCCAAGAGGCATCAGCGAGGACATCCTGAGCATAGCTCCTACATCAAGGAGCGCGACAGGACAATTGTCCGGAGAAATCTGAGGACGAGGAAGAAGAAAAGGGGACAAAACGTCCCAGACAATCTTCTGAGGCCCCAGACAATCTGATGGACGACATGGAGGGCTAGAACAATGGTTCAACAAGCTGCTGACTTCCAGCTATGACAATGCCATACGAGCACAACGATGAGAAGGGCAACAACGCTGGAAAGACAATGGCAGAAAAGATGTACAGACTTGTCTACAATGATTGAACTGTTTTGTGCAATAATGTTCCTTACAGTTTCAACAATGTTTGTATTGATGGTGTGATTCAACAATGAATCAAACCAAGGGACGGTGTCAAGATACAAGTTCTTTGCATACTTACTCCATCGTAGTGTTCATGTACAATTGCCCGGTGCTCTACAATGCACCTTGGATCGAGGCCTTGAGCCTAAGGACAGTTGCCAGAGGAAAACAATACAGAGACGTGCACAAACAAACGACAACCAAACAGCTGCTGAATTTTACAAGAGAGAGAGAGAGAGTGAGAGTGAGCATCTGTCTGATGGCACAAAGTGCTGCGCCTGCCACGAAATCTGCACTCTGAGGTTCACAAAGTGCTGCGCCTGCCGCGAAATCTGCACTTCGAGGTGACAAAGTGCTGCGCCTGCCACGAAATCTGCACTTCGAGGTTCACAAAGTGCTACGCCTGCCACGAAATTTGCACTTTGAGGTTCGCAATGTGCTGTGCCTGCCACAAAATCAGCACTTCGAGGTTCACAAAGTGCTGTGCCTGCCACCAAATCTGCACTTCCACTTCCAGGTCCACAATGTGCTGCGCCACGGTTTCTGAAAACGAGCCACATGTAGAGAAGTCACGATTGGCTGCGCCTGTCACAAAATCAGAGCGTGTCGAAGATCACCACCATGTCCAAAGTGCTGAGCCTGCCACGAAATCTACACTTCGAAGTAAAGCCGCTCCGATCCCTTGCACCTGTCACAAAAAGTCAACTTTGGGCCTGCGACGAAAAGTGACCATCATGTCCGAAAATGAGCACGGGACCACAACGAGAGCGCAGTCGCGACAAGCACCCGCCGCGCCCAAGCAGATTTTGCGAGCCTGCGCGGTCGAAATGCACTTCGATGATTTCGAGAGGCATGAATGTACTGTAAATAGCCAGACCCAACCGCGCAACACCTTGATTAGACACCGGTGCTTAACAACTACCGTAAGAACCCCTATAGTGTGTCCACACTCTTTGGGGAAAAAAGATCTTCAAGCCGATGCTAGCGCCGCATCCAGAAATCGCCTTCCCCTACAGGCGTTATAAGCCACTTGTCGTTGATTCGTGGTCTGACTGGTCGCTGATTCGGAACCACTGGTACCCGGTCGATACTTCGCGAAAACTGGTCGCTGGTACCGGGTTGCTGATTCGTGGTCGCTGATTCGGAGTTTTCTCCCTACACAAGCAATATGTGACCGTCCAATGCGAAGAAAAAAGCGTCCTGGCCTCGTGAGGCCTCCAATTCCTTCATCAGTTTGATCACATCCGGGGAAATGGTCGTGGTCGTGGTGGTCGTTCCAAGCCTCCGATGCTGTCGTCGATGCTGTCGACCTTCGTTCGGGCACCGAAGTCAGCGGTCGTCTCCAGGGCGGGTCACCGCGACGGGAGGTGCTGCAGATTGGATGCATCCATACTGGCATATTTGCCTACATTCACCCCCCCAAACCGCCCCAATATGTGTAAATATATGCCATACATGGAGTGTCTGGAAATGTCTGGAATATCTGGTTTTACCATTTGATCGACTTTTGGAGGCTCTGGTAGTAAATTGTGTGAGTAATTTGCTTATACGTGTGCGTTTGGAAGAATCAGCAAGACAATTCGACGAGTAGATTAAGTCGAACAAAACTTCTGGTTGGAGGTTTCAACTCGCTTGAAAAGTACTGATCAATATATGTCAATCATCCCAAGTAATAGGTTGAAAACAAACAGGTCTGAAAGATTAAGGTGTCTGGCCAATGACCACTTCTTAAGGGGATTCCAGAAAATGAAGCGACTTGTTTTGTATCCAAGCAACTCTGGCGTCGATGCAACCGTCGATGCAACCGATCCGAACGTCGCGAGTAATCAGGGTCATCCAGTAGGCCCAAGGCATGAATCTGCACCAAGCCTTCTACGTCGCTCTCTGAGAGATTGCAAAGAGATCCACAGCTCCAGACTGGTACAACTAGCACCAGGAGTCGCGCTACGAATATCATGGGACCGAAACTTGCAACGAGATGGCTCGAAGCGTTGAGAGGTTGCAACGGCTGCAAACGGTTGGCTTGTAGCCCGACATATCAGTGTAGGAATGAAAGCTCAGACTATCGATCAAGACCTATTACGGTTCCAAATAATGACCACCGCTTGCATGATCTTTTACAGAGCGACGCACCAACCTGAGTTCAATTTCGACACTTGGGAATGTTGGAAAAGGACTTCGAAGATTCAACCAGTTGGAATCGAAACCAATCGAACCAACCAATCCAAGCTTCTAAGAATTCAACCATCATTGATTCCAAACCAATTCCGGATCCGCTTGCGGATTCGCTCCGGATCAGCTCCTGGATGCCCGCCGCAGGCGGTGAGGGGCCCTGTTCTGCTGTGGTGATGTAAGCGAGTGACAGCGAGCTTAGCCATGCTGCCCACCTGCAAAGGAGACATCAGGAGACAGTAGCCCTGCTGCCATGTTGCATATATATATATAATATAATGGTTGGAAATGAAGCGCAAACCCGAGTGCATGCGCCTTGTTCCCACATTGAGATGTTCACTACTTCGCCTCCTTGAAGTACGGCAAACCGGATATGTGAAGAGTGCCTGCCTAAAGAATATAAACACAACATCTTACAAGCATTCATTGAGCTCCATCGATTTGACTCGACCTCCGCGCCTCTTTTGGGAACATCTTTCGCCTCAACCCACCTTGATTATCCTTGATCGATGAATCCGGGAATCTCAACGGAAGGGAACAGATGCAAATTTGGCACCTTCATGCACCTTGGGTGCAGGATGTCCGCCGTGTTAATCACCAATGGCAACGAGAAATGAACCTCCCATCGATCATCTATGATGGCAGCTCTGGAAGACCCAAGATCCTGGCAGATCTTCTATATATATAATATTCTTTGTTAGCACAAGGATCCTGGGTAGTTGTTGATGAGCAGCCTGAAATTCTCTGGCAGAAAGGTGGACGGCGGACATCAAATCCCTTCAGTTTCAGCATCTTTCAACTAAAATGCAGGTGTTTGGCCAGGATGAACCCCATGAAACCACTGGTGGCCAAAGAATAGCATCTGCCAGGCTAAAGTCATGTAACAAGGCAACACCTTCCCACCCTTCAAGAATCCTCTTGGAATGGCCAATCTGATGGCTTCCATTTAAGGAATCCAGAATCTAGAAAAGATATAACATATTCCCCAGAAGGGGATCTACCCATAGGGAAAGCTTACCTTAAGCAAAGCCAAGTGGGTAGTTTGGCACCGCCTTCGCCACATCCCTCTTTTGCCTCTCTGTCTGTGCAGTGCTGCTGCAGGAACGACTTGTGTTCCCTTCCGCTAGCCCACACCTTTGACACCTAATGAGGGCGATGTGCCTCATCTATTGATGTCTACCCAAGCTTGGAATGCCCCAGCTTCTGCTCCTTCCGATATCCTAGCCAAACACCTATAAATAAATACATAAATATACATGACATATAAAAGGAATTTCAGTTGAAAGTGCAAAAGCTGGGAAGATACGCTCCACCAAGTCAAAAACACGAAGAACTATATGCGACTGTTCGAGCATATCAACCACAAGTTGGAGTACTTTGTCACTGTGGAGGAGCAATCTTGGAACCTACATCATGCCCAGATAGACCTGTGCACTGCGTCTTCATCTGTCCAACTATGCTGTGTCGCGTTCTGTCGTACCACACCCAACTGTACAGCTCGGATGGTTTCGGGTCTCGGCGGCTCCGGCTCCGGCTCGGTGCAGCTGCTTCGGGGACTCAATCACTCAGCTGGCCCTCTCTTGGAGGATGCCTTCGAATCGGATGTCTGAGGGATCAAAGGATCCCTTACCTCACGAAGCGGCAAGACGCTCGACGGCTCGCTCGCTGGCGCTCGAGTCAACCGTGGCAGCTTTGGCAGCCGCGTGTAAACATCCGACCGCCAAAGTGGCTGAATTGTGTTGCCCTAAGGATCCGCACCCTCAAAAACAAGGGTTTTGAGGGTACAAACCCTTGTTATAGAGGGTTCGACCCCTACTAAGGAGGGTCCAAGGATCCTTAGGGTGGCTGGTGTGCGTTTGGCCCCGGCTGGCGGCCGGCGGTTTTGATGGTGTTTGTTCTCACCGAACGCGAGAGTTCAAGAGCCTTAAAGTATTCAGAACTGTGGCACCTAAGGTGTGTGGACTTTCCAAAAGCATGAAGCACTGGCGACTGAGGTCCCAGAATCACAGCAGATCGACGTTTGACGAGCTGTCAAAACACCGGAAACCGAATCTAGAAGGCATTCGAATCCACTCACCATACCCAACCAGGGGTCCCACAAACCATGAACAACCTATAGTTTTCCCTAGCAACAAACATGGTTTTTGAATATGAATGTCTTTGTTTTTTCCAATGTTTTTTTTTAATGGTTTTGAGGGCTCCTGGAATCCACTAATTACCCAATCCTTAATCCTTTGACAAGTCTTTGAAATTGAACAAGTCCAGTCCACAAATGAAACCAAGAAAGAAACACACCAAACATGTAGGCCATAGGACTGCGCCACCATGGGTCAGCTGGGTAACAAGTAACAAGTACCAGGGGCCCGAACCAAACCATGAAAAACAAAGGTGTTCATATACAAAAACAACGTTTTTTGCTCGGGAAAACTAGGTGTTTGATGGGCCATGTGGGGCCCCTGGTAGCTCTTATAAACCCAATGAATCAACGGTCCGTCTGTCGCCAAAGGGCAGATTTCCACCTTGAATCGCTTCACCAGGAACTCGCACCTGCTTGGCACGACCTCCTGCGCCTGCGCCCGGGGCGTGAAGCGCTAGCTGCGGACGCGCATCCGCGGACGCATCCGCGGACGGTGTTTGACAATGAAAGCCCATCCCACCATCAGAACCAAATGAGTACAGATTCGATGTCTTTAAATAAGGACACATTTGCTAGGACTGGCATGGCGTGAAACCCTCCCATTTGGGGGTATTCATGTCTGGGGTCAATGGGGCTCACCGGTCTTGCCTGGGGTATATTCATCTGGGCAGCTCACCCATTTACACCGTGCATGTCCCCTGCACGCTTGGGCCACTCATGGGCCACCTGACAAGAACCCATCTCATCCAACCAACTGCAACGTGGTATTCACATCATCATACACCACTCTCACCCCTAGAAGTCCCAGTCTGACAAACCCTGGGGATCCAGTCGTACCTTCTCAGGTACGGTGATTGGAGACTATTTAAGTAGGCTTGGAGGGCCCAGTCGTACCTTCTGAGAAGGTATGTGGATCCCTAGGGAAAGTAAAACCTGATCTTTTGATCTCCTTGAGTAGTGTTTTCGTATGACCATCTCCAGTCAAATGAGGTCCATTCCTGACCTGTAGGTTGCCATTTAGTTCTTCAGTTCCTTTCTCTCGTCTCTCGTCTGCCAAAAAGCCACACCCCAAAAACTATGCCTCATCAAATCTGCACATACACAACATACGAGTATCATATGATTACACATGGCCGTGCGGAACTCCATATCCTTCACCAGACCACGGTAGGTTGACATCCTTTATATATAGAAATCTGTTCATTTGACCCGGTGTCAACCAGAGATCCCCCTGTCGTTGAACCACCAACCGTCGCCTGCCCCAAAGGGTTTGTCGCCTTGATGGGACGATCCTTGGAGGAGAGGACCTGCTGCCAACCGGAGCTATCATTGGCGCAGGACACGGTGAGGTCGATGTCCTTTCCTGACCGCGAAGACGGGTAGGCGCGGATGCGGAGACCCCCTCCGGTCGGAGTTCGACTGGAGCGGTGGTCGACTGCAGCGGAGCTCACCCCCCTGGTGCCCCCAAAGTGACGGAATAGAGCGAGATCTGTCTAAATTAGTTGCAACATAAAATCACTATAGCAGTCCAAGCAAAACCTCAACCGTATCACACATATAGTGTCAGTGCGGGAAAGTAGCTAGGACCAATCCAAAGCATCCTTGGACACAACGACTTGCTTTAGATCATCCCTCTTCTGAGTCACAAGCAGCTCGTGACCTTGAAGAAGATACTTACTTTGGACTTCACCCAACTCTTTGCTCCTTTTCCCCCTTCCAAGTGGCACGGCTCAAAACCCCAAAACTACCCACTCGGCTCCCCTTGACCGAGGGCCTCTAGTGGTAGACACCCCGTGGCATGGCAGCAAGCCCTCCAAATCTCCAGCCTTGCTACTCCCAACCACTAGTACACCCAAGCCTTCTGCTCTTCCATACCATGTTCTTCCCGCTACAGTAGTGGTGTCCCTGGAAAACCCCTCCACTCTTCCCCCATCGACCAAACTCCTCCTTATAAGACTCTTGATTCATCCAAACCTTCCATATGATGAGCATTCTCAATTCCATTTGTTTTTGGGGAGGGGGAGGAGTTCAAGATCTTTAAATTATCAAAAATCCTCCCTAAAATAAACACGCTACGCTACGCAACTCCCGCTACGCAACTCCCAGCGTCCGACTTCCTTTCGGAACCTCACTGCCAACAGCTTGACCGCGAAGAGTGGAAGGCGCCACTCCACCCAGCTGCCCGCGTTCTGGAAGGAATGCTCCGCGCAGCTGGCCAGGGCGAACATGCTGCCCACGTTGGTGTTGGGGCTGTGCACGAAATGCACCCAGTTCGAGAGGAAGTACCTGCGCCCCAACGGACGGCGCGAAGTCGGGTCAAAGCTTGGCTTTTTGAAAGGAAGGTGATATAACTGATTGGAATGGACACAAGGTCACAAGGGTTTTAGTCAGGTTTTCGCAAAGTGCACGTCCGGAACAGCCAAAAATGCCAACCAAACACATATCTGAGACCTACCAGGAGCCCTCAAAACCATGAAACAAACAAAGGTTTTCACGAGTTTTCACATACAAAAGTCATTGCATGATTTTTGCTAGGGAAAACTTTATAGTTTTTTCATGGTTTGTGGGGCCCCTGGTAGGCAAGTTTGTTCGGATCCAAAATTGCCTGAGACCGAGGTTTTCAGGGACCCCTTCGAAAGAATCAGGCTGAGCAGGCTGGTGTAGCCATGAGCATGGCAATGACCCTCGTGGCCCTCTTGCCAAAACAATGGCATCGTTTGGGTCTATCCCACTACCTGTAACAGTGGGTGATGGATGATGGTGGTTGGTAAAGGCCTGGTTCAAAAATAGAGATAATTGTTCACGGGCTGTACAGGTATATAACAGGAGAGACCGAAGGCATGATATACAATCCATCCCAGATGAGGAATCTTATCCCCTGCATAACGTCGACGGACAGGATGTTTTGAAGAGAGGACTTCCCGTCCGTCGACGGATTTGCCAAGAACAGCTCAGTTGGCTGACCCATATATTTGTAATCTTTGATCGATGTAAAGTAAAAGTAAAGGACATCGCCTGCTGGTCATTGAAAAGCACCTTAAAAACACTGACACACACATATAGATATATATTATATAT